GGCAGAATCTATATTTAAAATTCCCAGTAGAAATCCCCTTTAAAAGCATAACAAGTCTGACTTGAAATGCACCTGCTTAACACAAGTTTGTCTTTCAAGGACTAGCTGAGTGCTTCTTATGTTGTTTGTATGTTATCTCTCAAACGCGGGAATGATCTTCTGTTGTGTTCTGCAGACAAGTCAAAATATTACCCTTGAATTATGCATAAACTAGCAAAATAGGATGTGACAATCTGTGTTCTGTGTCAATATTAAGGCCAGATCCTTCTTGATTAGCTTCTTTGAGCCTTGGGGGGGGGGTTCTACAAGGTCCAACTACAAAGACTACAAACACACAGTTTTCAGTGAGCAAGAAAAGAGAAGTGCTCCATCTACAGCATGAATCACTTCCTTATTCCTGACACAGATGCTCGGCCCTGAGAGCTATATTCCCTAAAAAGTGAGAATGTCAGCAACCCAATCTGTGGTCAGAACATGGTTGTGCAATCTGAATATGTAAAGTATCTAAAGCACACAAAGAAACTGACATTTTGTGCTGGGATTGTGGGTGAAAGGTAGAAAGGGTTCCTAGGAGGATAAGGTGAAGAAATTACCTTTCAGTTAGTCTTTTGTGCACAGAGAAATTCTGAAAACATAACAGCGGAAAGAGGAAATGATGCCTGTGTTGGATCAAGTAGCTCAACAAAGGTTTATTCTTCAATAACGCAAACTACAATGCATGCAGCTGAGACGCCCCCAAAGCAGTATCACTGTCAGGTTATTAATATTCTTTCTGATTCTACCGCATGACACAAGTCTGTACAACACCTGCAGAACTTTGCCTCAGAAAGTCTCAAACACAGAGACACACAGCTTTTAATACACACTGTGGGGTATTCACTGGTGGATTTATTTTTCTGAACTCACTGGAACTTGGTGGTTTCAAGGGGGACTCATTTAGCAAGAGTTTAAAAAAAGTACAGACAAGGTGAAACCATTCAATAATGTAGACTATTCAGAAAATCAGAAACATGTCAGGTATCTGAGTCGAAACTGCTTAAGTGATGTTTAGCAGTTGCTAAATCATATGATACGTGTGAAAGATTAACATATATTGCTATTTGATATTCTGACACACTATAATGAAAACATTCACCCTATTATATAATATAGCGTGTGCACTAGTGTAATTTGTATATCTCTGTTTACACATTATTAATGTTAAGATGTACAACAACACTACCAACACATTACCAGCCACTGTTCAACTATTTGCTAACACAAGTATCCAGTCCAAGCAGCAAACATCAAGACAGCCTGATAAAGTCCAAACCATGCATCAGAATGGAGAAGGTAATTACAGTGACTTTGAACATGTCATGTGTATCGGTGCAAAACAGCCTGATCTAAGTATTTCAAAAATGCTGTTCTATTGTAATTTTCATGCACAATCATCTCTAGGGCTTACAGAATATGCCCAGAATATAAGAAAGTTAGTGAGTGGCAGTTCCCTTGTCAGAGGTAAGAGGAGAATGGCCAAACTGCTTTAAGCTGACAAGAAGGCAATATTAACTCACTTGTTACAACCAAGGTGTGCAGAAGAGCTTCTATGCAGAGCACTTCATACCTTGAAGCAGATACAGGTCTTCTGCTATCAGCTGAGAACAGGAAACCAAGGCTACAATATGCACGGGCTCACCAAAATTGAACGATAGAAGATGGGGAAATGTTGCTGTTGGGTCTCAGTTTCTGCAGTGAAATTCAGATGAATGCCAAAATTTTAGACTTAAACTACATGAAAGTATGGCTCCATCCTGCCTTGTATCAAGAGTTCAGGCTAGCGGCGATGCTGTTGGTGGTGTAATGTATGGAGGATATGCCAGCACTGGTTATATGGCTGTTACTGTCTAATTCATATTTTTTTCATTAGATGAATGTGAAATTTCAGCTAGAATTTGTGGTGATGTGGACAGAGTCTTCAAAATTCTCCAAAATGTTACTGATATATATATTGTAGAGCCTAGGTTTGTAGACCACATGATCGCAAAATAGGTCACGTTTGGAATGATCCACCGGTTAACATATCTGAGCCTTGGATGCAGGCCGTTAATAATACGCTAAATGATGCATATTTTTAATCAGATGCTCGTGAATTTTCGTGACACTGGTGAAACTCCCAGCTGATCACTATAACTGAGCGTGACCCAAAGTTTCAGCGGGCAAAAAACTCTTCGAGTAAGCATTTAACTATGGGACAGTAAGCCTATGGGATGATGTAATGATTCTGACGGAGTGATGAAATAGTTACTCCCGTCCCGTGTTTCCCCGCGTCGGGAGCGCGCACTGAGCA